CACATAAGCAAATCTGTGTAGCGATTTTGTGCTGGGGGTCTGTGCACAAAGCACACTCCTCCTGTGTGTTTATACCGTTGCTTTTTAAAGGAAATACACATTTTGCTCAGTTGCACATGCTGCTCCCTCTGCTGCACAGCAGACAAAGTGGGTCAGAGCACACACTCACGATTTGGTACACATTCCTAAGCAAACATGGACAAGTAAAGAAACTCACCCACACATATTGTTTGTAGAGGTACAGGTGCAAACGAACCAACAAGGATCTCTGTCTGACTTTGGGAAATGTTTGCTGTCCAACAATTGTTCCTGCAAATGAACCCTGTGGTAAGAAAGAGAGAAGATGAAGGTAAAGAAAATGGAAAAAAATGGAGGCAATAGAAGTGATACAGAGCAAAGCAGGAGAGCAAATACTTTGACGATGATGATTATGATATTATTATTAGCTGTTATTGATGATCTGATAGTGGTAGAGGAAATAAAGTGTCTACTTATTTTAACAATTTTATATATACAGGGTGGGCCATAAGCTTCCATACATAGGAGAATGTAAAATGTATATTTCTTGTATATTTCAAATACCCAAGAAGATGCGTTTGACAAAAGAGCAAAGAATTGAAATCATACTGATGGCTGCACGAAACATTAACATAAAACATGGAACGAGCACTGTGGCAAAACTTATGTGGAACTGGAAATGTTGCAGATCAACCACTAAGTGGTCAAAGACGTGCAGCGATTACACAGAGTCCCACTAAAATAAAAATGGTTGTCCAGCATAAAATGTTTACTTTTTCTATGTATGGAACTTATGGCTCACCCATATATATATATATAAACCATGGTAACGGTTGCATCTAGAGTGTATTACTTTTTAATGAACATGCCTATTTCCAAATGTTTCATATTTACCATAATTATTTGGTGATGCTAAATATTTTTTATATTATTTGTGTTTATAGTTTAGTGACTGTAGCAATGGTAATGTATCTTTGTAATTAAATGTTTAAGAATTATTGTAACTTTAACTATTTTAATGAAATTGTATAAAAGAATATGAAAGGAATAATTACAAGGATCTTGATTAACTTATAGCTGCATAATTTAAAAAAAGAGCTGATGGGCAGTTTCAGCAGTATGTGTCCGTTCTCTAATTAGATCACAAATAAGCCTGCGAAAGCTTAAGCACGCTAATGGAGTTTATTGGAGCACAAAAACCAGTGTTGCATCATCTCAACACTCACACAAGCATACATCTGCGTGCGAAAAGTCACTACACGCCTCAGAGGTTCAGGAGGAAACAACAAATACATCAGACGCCACCAGAAGACGCATCTATGAAGAGCAAACAGGTGGGATGATACAAAACACAAACACAAGTAATGTGAAAACAAACAAACTGGCTTTTGCTGCATGTCACTTTATGAAATCTGCACACAGAAGCAGCATAAAAGCCAAAAGCCACTTGTTTTCTGAGAACCACCTATCAGCTAACATAACAGAACAAGGTTTCATAACAGATGCAAAGTTGGTCAAAAGTGGTTTAAACACTCAGACAATCACTCACATGCAAATTTTAGCAAGTTTGCTCTCTGTAAGAGCTATGAAGGCAAACCTGCTCATAAAATCGCATTAGAGAGCAAATATTGCTGCTGCACAGATAGGTTGCCACGTTTAAAGACACCGTTCAGTGGAGTACAAAAAAAAAAAAAAAACACTGGAAAAACCACAACAACATTTCACATTAGTTTAGGTTATATTTAAAAAGTGCTCTGAGGGAAAAAAAAGAAGTAGTCTGCTTTGTGTGTGTTTGGTGTGATGACATCACAAGAGGTGCAAAAATGTGTGAATTTCGCCTCTAAAACATCTATTAACCAGCAACTTACAGGCTCTGGAGTAACACATTTATTTTTAAGGATCCTGTGTCAGAATTTTTAAACTTGTTCGCTTTAATAATGCAGGATGAGGGGTTGCTTTGTGAGGCAGGATAAGTAGATTATAAACAGAAATGCGACGTGGGACAATTATGTCAATAAATGTAGAGATAGATTAAGTTAAATTTCATCTTCATGTCCCAGTCTAAAGTTAGACTAAACATAAATACAGTAACTATAAATTGTTTCTTCCTAATTAGGAGTTAATAAAAGCACTTCATGTAACATGCAGGAAAAAGTAAGTAATCGTCTCTTAACTACTTTATTGTTTGTATTTGGTGCTTGTTAAACCCTATATATCAGAGAAAAAATGAGTTTACTTTTCTGAAGTTGCTTCATTTTTTTTAATCTGTTTTGTGATTTTATGTTTTCAACAAACAAGAGAACCAGATAAATAAAGTATAATTTCCCTTTTATTTGTGTCTATTTACTCTACATTTTAACCCAAATTGAAAGTATTTCCTGCATTTCGGTTGGTGGTCAGCAGACAGAGAGGTTCTCATAAAAATAAAGACTGTTTCTGTTTAAGACATTGGGATAGTATTTTCCTAACATGTGATTGCAATTGTTTGAAATATGGAACAGCATCTATGAACTTAACATTCACAAAAAGATTAAAAAATAAGCAAGACATTTGAAAAGTGGCAGAACTTAGCTAACCTACAGTTATCCATTTTCAAATTTCTCTCAAAAATGTCATTGTATTTTCACCGATCGTTGTCACAACTACTCGTTTCCTTATCCAGCATACACTTAAATTGGCTTTTATGGGTTTGAGTGTCTCTCAGAAAGTCCATTCGATCTGTGTGGTGTTAAAACTGACATTTCCTCCACTGCTGTCTTCGTCTTTCTGTCCCATCGTGTCTGCAGAAAAGATACCAAAGTGACATCCCAACTGCAGCCTTGAAGAAACTGACATGCCCAATTAAGAGCTTCTGGTGCTCAGTCTCTTCACCTCCCTTCATTTCATTTCACTGCTCCCTCGGTTTCAGTTTCATTCTCTGTTACTGTCACACTGTTAAATATTCCTTGAGCAGTTTTTCTTTTTGTCCTTTCCATTTCTCAGTGTTAGATCCCGCTTGTCTCTTTCACCCCAACGTCACAACCCCTCCGTCAGCTGATCACTAAAATTAATGGCTCTATTTCCATCAAACCACCGTGGTGATGAATCATGTCATTAATTTATCGCTGGGGTGTCCTGATTAATCATGTCATTAATCAGGACTTTTTTTTCCCCCCACCGATACAGCGGCATGTTAAAGAAAGCAAATCTAGACGATGGTGATTAAAATTTAAGACACACACTCATACGCACACGAGGTGTTTTTTTTTTTAGAAACTCTGGGATGTTTGTCTCTACTTTCCAAATAAAATTAAGCGGTGAGTTGAGATTATAATAATAAATACAATAGAAGCCAGTGAGAAAAAAGATGCAGAAAATTCACAAAGTTGAGTCAAATTCATTAAGCATTAGACAAGAAATATGTCATTTTGTCAGTTTCATTCTGGGATTGTCAAGCAAGAGGATAATTTAAAAACATTTGCTTCACAATTTATGACTAACGGAAACAAAAAGGAGAATATAAAACAATATTATCTCCACCTTTCTTTGTGAAGAAATAAACTTAAACTTTGAGTCTATAGGTTTAACAACACATCACTTTGTGAGACTGGCACTGAATATGAAATGTTTTATTTCCAGGTTCATGACTTTTCTGTTTTGTTTTGTGCAAGCAAATGAAAAATGTAGACTGTGGGAGAACATTCTCGCTGCAAAATATATGTCTTGTTCCAGGTCTTACATTGGACAAGAGAAAGTCTGGAGTTTTAAACACGACATTCGAACAAGAACCCTAAACTAGTATTTTCCGCAACTTGGTACTTCTTATACTAAGACTAATTTTAAACCGCTTTCACTTTATTTATGTTTGTATTTTTGATGATTTCCCAATTAATCTGACACTGAGACGAGAAAGGGCATCCATAATGATGTTAAAGAACCAAAGCAGAAGTTTGGTTGTTGTTTAAAAGAAGGTTTTGACTTTCATATAAAGTGAGATAGTAACTAATTACATTTATTCAATTGCATTAACTTTCTAACTTTTCTTTTTTTTTAAATGTACTTATGGGAGTACTTTTACTGTGCTGTGCTTTTTACTTTTACTTGAGTCGTTTCATTTTGAAGTATTTCTACTCTTACTTCAGTAAAATTTCTGGATTTTCTACCTGCTGAATGAGAAATAAACATGTTTAAACCAAAAATTCACCAGACACACACCTGCACCTTTTGTTAGTTACATAAATTGTTTGTTTTTTTTTAAATAAAGTGATTTGGAAAAATGTGAAAGTTGATTTTGTTATTTTTTGCTACTTATTGAATGATTGGCATTGTTGTTTTTAAAATATTAAAATTTCCACTTAAGTGGTGAGCTGAGATTATAATTATAAATATAATAGAAGCCAGTGACAAATTAGACTTAGACATTAGACATGAAATATTTTGGTGAGTCTGATTATGTAATTTTTAAATATTAAATTAATGATAATTTGATGATTTAACAAGGTAGTTAATTACTTCCTCCCAGAGAGTTAGCTTAGCTTGGATTTTTTTTTATTTTTATAAACTGACACATTTCAGTGTTACAAAACAAGTCAAAAAGCAGGAGAAATCTCCTTTTTTTCACAGAATTGTAGTCCAAATTGGTTTGGCTTGATGCTTTAGCTCTTCCTGGAAGTCCAGATTTTCCCTGTCAGGTCAAACACAAGCAAACTAATTTTAGTACAAATTCACAGCAGCTCTTTTCAAGCCCTTTCTTCATTTATGGACCTCATCAAAACGAGAGGGATTTCACAGACTTTCCAGAGGAGGAGACGTTTGCAGTCTGCAGCCAGTCATGGCCTCAGCCCAGAACTCATGACCACCGGTGCAGAGTTTATTGGGTGGTAAATGAGCGCTTGGCTTTCAAGTTAATCTAAAGTCACTTTAAACATGAAAAAACTCCGCACACCCCGAGTAGATTAATTAGTTTCAAGACAAGCTCCTGCGAAACAATCAGACGGCTTTATTTGGCTTTCCCAGATGAGTTTTCCAAACCCACATGTCAGCAGTCATTATGGAGAGTCATCTCTCCTCTGCTGTGAGGAGGTTTACTCTTAATTGCCCCCGACCTCATCATCTGACTGTCCCCGTTGCTAAAAGACATTATTGCATCAGAGGTCTTTTTAGTTAGCAGGTGAACATGCTGAATTCTCACTCTGTTGGATCCCAACGAGGAATTTACTGAATTATTACTGAGCAACATAGGGAGAAAGTACCATCATGTAGAGAAGATGCCTCGTGCATCGAGTAAATGTCGTCTCGATTGTTTTTCCCAGCCCCCCGTCTTCATCCGCCAGCATGCTCTGAACAAATCGGACTCCCACGCTGCTCCGAAAAAGGTGGGAATTGATGAGAAAAAGTGCTAACATATCTAAATTGCAGATTAAAATCAAAACAAAAACTGTGTGCTGAAGCAACACATTTGACAGGCGCGCACGCACACGCACACACACACACACAGATATGCCTTCCCTCGATGATTTCAGAAAAATTTCATCTGAGATCATTGCTTCATTAGTGGAGCTCTAGTTGTTCAGATTGATTTAATTATCAAATCATCTATGCAGCAAGTGTGTGTGTGTGTGTGTGTGTGTGTGTGTGTGTGTGTGTGTGTGTGTGTGTGTTCATAAAAGAGCGAGATTATGCAGCGATCTTGGCTGACATTGATCAGCCCAGTCTAATTGGGAGCATCTAGCCGTGTAATTGATTCTGCTACACTTCACAACTAGATGAGTTAAGCAACATCAACAACACTGATTCACGCCGATGAACCAAACTGAACTGAACCAAACTGAGCTGAGCCAGGCTAAACTATTAGGCTGGATAATAGCAGCCACAAACGATCCGATTACAAACCTTTTGTTTACCTCTGCAATCATCCCAGCAGGCGTATCAAAACTGCAACCCTGACTAAACCTACAAACTCCTGCTGATGAGCTCTGGGATATCTGCAGGTAGGTCCAAACAGAGTAGAATAGAATAGACTTTATTGATCCCCCCGGGGAAATTGTATTTATTACCTAAGATGGAGTTGCTTGCAACAAATAAGCAAAGTTTGTAAAATATATATATACCTAAGAGTGACAAGTTCAAAATGGCTAAACAAATAAATAAATAAGCAATCACATGCAATATATTAATCAATAAATAACCTATAAATGAGCGCAGAAAAAATTTGGATCAGTTAGCATAGACGTGGGCATCGTAAATGCAAAAGAAACATTGATCCTACTTCGTTACTGCACACAGATTTGATATCTTTCAAATTGTGTCATGTTGATGTTTGAATGAACAAAATTATCTAAACAGAAATGTAAAAGAATCACCTTCCAATTGAACTACGGCTGCAAATCTATGGTGTTTGTCTCTAACCAGCTTTACACATTTAAAGAAGTTTCTGCAACTTCAGTCTTTATAGCAAAGATGAAGCTCAGTCAGACTGGATGGGGAACATTTGTGAACATTAATTTTGAAGTGTGGCATGGATTCTTAATTAGATTTTGGTTTGGACTTTGACTAGGCCATTTAAATACACGAGTATGTTTTGAACTGTAAAACTGTTTTTAGTCTGGATTTAAAGGAACTCTGTGTTTCGGTTGTTTTTCGGTTTTCCGGAAGTTTGTAGAACTTCTTCTCCATGTTTGGTTCTGGAAGGTTGATAAAACAACAGCAGATCTTTAATGTATTATGGTGCTAAGCCGTTCAGTGATTTATAAGCCAACAGTACTATTTTAAAGTCTATTCTCTGAGTTATATGGAGCAAGTGTAGGGACGATGTGCGCTAACTTCCTGGTTTTAGTCAGAATGCCAGCAGCAGCGTTCTGGATCAGCTGCAGCTGGCGTTTTGATTTTTTTAGGCAGATCTGTGAAGACGCTGTTGCAGTAATCAACACGACAAAAGATAAACGCATGGAGGAGTTTCTATAGATCTTGCTGGGACATAAATCCTCTAATCCTGAAAATGCTCCCTAGGTGACAGCCTACCATGTTGAGTTAGTTTTCTGCCACACGTAGCGTTCTGTACATCAGCCAAGAAGTTTCAATCTTGTCCTCATCCAACCACAAAACCGTCTTCCACATGTTTTCTGTGTCTCTTCCAGCGTTAATGAAAGATGGGTTTTTTGTTTTTGATTTAACACGAACGTGATTTTCCAGATCCTAAGGACACTTTAAAGTGGAGTACTACAAAGTGCCAGCATTCACATCTGCTTTGCGCTTTTGGCCCAAAATGCTGGAATTGCATCACGGTGATGGGCTGAGACTGCCTTTTCAAGAGGCTGCCATCTTTATGCACCTGGTCAATTTGAATGAAAAATTACCTGGGCAGCAGCTAAGTACACTGGCAGGTCAGCACAACACCAGCAAAATGGGATTCATGCAACCGCCAACCTCACTGTGTGTGTGTGTGTGTGTGTGTGTGTGTGTGTGTGTGTGTGTCTTGAGGATTAGTCATGCTCTTCTGCCTCTGCAGTACTTCCTGCTTCACACACACACACACCTGCATCCATCTGGCCGGTCCCCTCTGTTAGCAGAGGTGTGAAACGGAGAAAATCAGTCCGGGGAGGGAAGAGAAGAGGAATGAAGGCTGTGGAGGAAAAAAAAGGGAGATGGAGAGGGGGGGATAAATGCACAAGATCTGGTAAAAGAGTGGGAGAGTGATATTAAACACGAGGGAGCTAGGCGAGCAAATTCACCTGCCCACTTCCTCTTTTTTCCAGCGTACGCCTTCCCTCCCCTCCTTCTGTCGTCCTCTATCATGTTTCTTCCCTCGTCTCCTACTCCCCTAATTAGCTCCAAATCCTCTTACATCCTGCGCTGCGCTCATCTTCCTCCTCTTCATCACTGTCTCCCCCCACTCTGACCAAAAAAAAAAAAAAAAAGGAGAGGAGAGGAAAAAAAAAAATTCAGGTTGACCTTAATGAACAGATGAAGAGAGGAGGGAAGTGATGCATCGAGGGAGCCCAGGAAGTCTGGATCAGCACTTTTTGGATCAGTGTTTGTTTACTCAGGACTCCCTCATGTGAAGCTGTCAGAACAGTTTTTGCACTTTTCTCTTCTTCTTCTGAAGCAAAACCATTAGGTTTGCGGGATCATTTTGAAGTTTTATCCCTCTCTAAATCTCTCTCTCTGCTTTGTTTAGACGGAGAACAGGAGGGGAGCCGTTACTGTTTGCAGTGAGCGGTGACAGCAGGGACCGGTGGAGGTGGGGAGGAGATGACACAAACCAAAACATGAAAAACAATTTGAATCATAAAGAAGACGTCTCAGTGTCCCTGTAAGCAGCCAAATATTGGTTCCTCTGGGAAAGATGCATAATTCTTTAGCGCAAAAGCATAATCTTAACTCTGAAAAATTGGCAGCTTTTTATTTTTATTTTTTGGCTCCTTTGTCGTCCTCCTCATTGTGCGTGGCGGCAGGATCGATTTGGATCCTCGTCCAGCCTTGTTTGTCAAAGTTTCAGCTTTTACAAACTTTTAAAATCATTGGTCTGATTGGAAAAGTGGACAAGCTCAGCAGAGCTTAATCCAACATGTTCTCTCCTCCCTCCAAATAAAAAAAAAAGGGCTTATGTTTCAGGTCACACGGGAAATCAAATTAAGTATTTCTAAGCACCCCGATCTACTTAAACAAAAAAGTCAAAGAAAGAAAAGATTCAAATAAGGATGCCAGTATTTGGGCTAAAAGTGGTTTTACTGCAAAAATGTTGTCTAATCCTGGGAGTTTTGTTTTTGTAAAGTCACAAAGTGATTATTATTTTCTGGTCTAAAATAGTATATTATCAGGTATACTCACCCAATCTGCAGCAAACACTTCAAAAACACAAAATCTCATCAAGAACTTTTGATCTAATTTCTACAGCAAATGTCTTATTACACTTGAATTAAGATAAACTAACGTAAAAGCAACTGCTCAGCAAGATATTGGAGCTGGTTTCAAGTCAACAATTCCTTGTTATTGATGAAAATGTACTTGTTCTATTGCCAGATTATTTCACTTATAACAAGACTTTTTTCCCATGTTATGAATTAATTGATCTGCCAATGGAACTACTACTTTTTCATCAATAATAAGGATTTATTTATTTAAAACAAGCATCTATATCTTGCTGAAAAGTTGCTTCAGTTTTTAAGTTTGTCTTATTTCAAGTGTATTAAGATACTTGCACTAGAAATTAGACCAAAATTAATTGGTAAGATTTTGTGTGTTTGCAGTGAATTTTTTACTTTGCTAAAATCCTCCTTATTCAATTATGTCTTCATTTTGTACTTTGGGTTTTTGTTGTAATATTTCGTTGTAAAATTGAATAAAGAAACTGAACTAGAGTCACCAATAATCCAACCCCCACAAGCTGTAGGTGCTGGTATTGTTCTGACACACGAAAGAGACCTCCAGCCATTTTTTCTTTTTATTTAAGATCTAATCTCCACTCTGTTTGATTTTATGACAGGTAACAATAGTTCTTATGAAGACTTAGATCTTCTGAGTGAAGTTTATTGGCTGTAAAGGTAACTCAGTCACTGACAGTCGATAACCCAACCCTCTCAGAAGTCCTTCACAGGTTATAACAGGTACAACAAATGCAAGAACTGAATAATGACTATAAATGAATTAAACAAAGAGAGAACCATGCAAATGTTTTAAATGTTAACGCTTAACGAATGCACAACCTTCAAATTATCCTCTTTTATACATCCTGCAGTTTCTTTAATTATATTATTTACTTCTTACATGTCCAACCTGTCCAAAACCTCTTTTTTTTTGATTCTGCAAATCATCCTCTCCTCTGAGTCATACTGTAAGGTGATTTCCCCTACTAGTTCTGTACATTCTCCATCCTGAGTTAGTCTGCAGTGACCTTACCAAGGCCTGGCCAGGAAGATAAGCCCACACCTTCCTCTCCTGTCCAGCTTTCCCTCTTCCCTCTCTCGTTCATGCCTCCTGTTCTTCTCCTCCCTCTGCAGGTTTTTCTTCCCTCAGCATTTTCGTGTTTAATTTTTCACTTTCTCATCTCATCCCTGTCATGCCTCTATCTCCTGTCACTTGTTTTGCAATGTTTTATCTCTTCACCACTTTCACTCTGTTTGTCTTTTTTTTTTTTTTTTTACAAGTTAACATACAGTGAATCACAGAAAGTGGAAAAAACATCCCCGGCGGCTGTTTTTCTTCCCTGTTTTTTGTCCGTGTTTGTCCGTCTGAAGGGGGATTTGTGCTGACTGGTAAGGGTAAAAGATTCATGACCCAACAAAGTCTGTCAGGGCCACACACACACACACACACACACACACACACACATATGCGCGCACACGCACACACACACCCACACACATTCAGAGCCACATATAAACATTTATACTTAGTTTTAAGAACAGGTGAATCTGTAGATTTTGCCTTCAGTCAAACCCAAATGTAAGAGGAGATTTAAAAAAAAAAAAAACTAGAAGCAAAGAGAAACAAGAAACAAGGACGCGATTAGAGAGAAGAGACAGAGGAAAGGGAGGTTGTTCACAGAGCAGAAAGGTCTTTGAGCCATTTTACACACCAGGGAATCTTTGGCTGTGATGATGCATCAGAAGAACTAAAGCAGAGGAAGCAGACCAGCAGAAAAAGACTCGACTCACCTTTCAACTCGAGCCCCTGTGCTGTGCTTCCTTCTGGTTACATCTGGGACGTCCCATGGTCACTTTTTCAACTGCTTCTGTTAGACAACTTCAGATCACACAGACTTTAAGGCAACGTTGAGGCCAGCATCAGGTGTTGCATTTTCTTTCAAATTACAATGTTCAGGTTTGGTTTTGTTTGTTCTGGACGGTGTGTTTTTGTTTGTTGGTTTGTTTTTCACCTAGAAAAATGTAAGCTGCGGCTCCATTATTTTAGCTGTAAATTTCTTATCTTTTCCAACACACCTTGCCAGCATTTGGTTCTGCTCATCTTTTGGATTAAATCTATATGGAATAGTTGCCACCAAGTCAAGTTTATGCTGCATGTATTCGGCGGTTTGTCAGAGGGAAGAAGATATTTGCCCTCATTAGTGATGATGAACAGGAAATAGTACAAGCAGCGGGTCATGGGGTTTATGCGCTTTGCAACTTTTGCCGCCTGACTGGTAAAAAAAAAACAACTTGAGGATTCAGACTCGCTCACATAAAAACTGATTTTGGATTTTATGTCATGATTCCTTCTTTCTGCACTCACAGAGGTGATCCTCACAGTACCTGCACCAGGTTGAAATCATTGTGCAGGACAGCAAACTGAGCACAGCGGAGGAGAAAAACTTCACTTCTACACTGCAGACAGAGAAACTTTCTGTGTGCTACAAGGAATGGTCTTCATACATTTGTTGGGGTTTTTTTTTATTTCTCACAATCCAGCCATGTTTCTAGACGTCTGGACATTATAGGATGGCTTTGATAAGGTGAGGAGGGAAACCCAACAAGAGTTAATTTGGAGTCTCTCAGAGTTCCAGAATAAGTCTTCTTCTGTTTATTCTAATACGGCAATATTAATATGAAATATGACTTATATTTATGTTGATGACAATTTGCTTTATGTATAAATGACCTAGCCCTAACCCTTTCTGTTGAGAATTGGGTCCAATGGAGTCTTTCAAACTCATTGTCATGTTCAAGAGAACAGTTTGAGAGAATTTGAGTTTTGGGGCATCCAGATGGATTAGGCCAGCAACAATGCTGTGGCTTTGAAACTATGAGTACTTGAAAATATGGGAGACAAAGCATGCCAAGAAAATGGGATAGTTCTGATTTTCTGAAATGGGGCTCTGTGAAGTAATTATATGTTGTCAGTATCTTACCTCTAGTAGGAAAAAGTTAAGTCAAAGTGCTTTTTCAGGAAGACACAAATTGTGCGGGTTTTATTTCAAAACAATTACATAAAAGAGAGGTTTTGGTCCTGAAGAGCCGGTGGCTTGCATGTTTAAACATGTTTCGAATCAGAATCATGATGATTCAGAAGGCTTCAAAAGGGATTCCTTTTAATCAGGTTTGTTGGAGCAGGAACCCAAATGAAATGTGCATTACTTTTGCACTCAAGGACAACAGTTTCTTACCACTGGACTGCAAAAAATCGCAACAACCTTAAAAGGTCTAAAAATCTAAACTGAATCCTAAACTCCTTTTTGTGACACCTGTTGAGTATTGTCTCCCTGTGACTTGTCATTCTGGGAAAATTATACAAATATTGCACATCTGCATCATTACTTGTGTAACAGGATACTTCTGAAGCGCCTATGAACGGCAGAAAAAGCTCATTTCAGGGTGAGAAACCAAAGCATTATTTTATCTAAACATATTCAGCTCCCGCTCTGTCTCAGTGCTCCTACAGAATCAATAGTCATTACACTCAAAGTGAATTGATCTCTCAGCGCTGTTTGCCGATTCCTCGGACTAAACTAACACCAAATGAATTGCGGGCCCTCCGTATATGGGCAGATATTATCAGGTGAATGAATGTCAAAAGTGTGGCGGTTGGCGGTGGAAGTCAAAGAGGAGTGGAGGCAGCGTGTAATTTGGTCTGCTTCTTTTAAAAACAACACTTTGGTTTCTAAAGACCTATTTGGTTTACCTGATTAGACTCAAAACAGGCAGCGTAAAGTGATTTACTCGGTTTTACTTGGGAGTAATGAAGGGATAAGTTGGGAGTAAGAGATGACTAATGAAGGAGGGAGACAAAGATGAGGTATGAGTTAGTTTGAGAGCATCTATGTATAACGTAGAAGAGAAGGCACAGGGATCTTGTCGAAGGATTAGAAAATGGTCAGAATATGGACCCTACTTCACTTTATCGTTGGAGGCACCATGAGTATTGAACAGAGTGACTGAAATTGTTTTCCAGTTTATTCACGGTTTCTACTTGTTCGAGTCAAGCTCATTTGTCTGTGAACGTAACACACCTGGTTGGGGCTCACAGATGGCGGTATTAGCAAAAGCTTGAAACAGCCATCTTAGAAACCGATCCATACCTCCTCCCCCGTCACGTGTTGATCAAATTACCGACTTAACTCACACCACGTGATTTATATCACCGTCATAAACAGTGTTTCCCTTTACACTGTTTATGTAAAGGGACATAAACAGTGTCCCTTTACTGTTTATGTAAAACAGTAAAGGGACTGTTTTACAGTACTGTTTTACAGTACGTCTTCGTCTGTACGACGAAGTCTGTACGACGAAGACGTACGTCTTCTGTACGTCTTCGTCGTACAGAAGACGAGATGCTAACCAGGTTTTTTCATGCTAGGCTACATGACGGTGCAGCATTGTATTCGTGGTTATTGAGCCACGTACCTTCTCCATAATGCGATAATTGATATCTTTCTAATCATACTTACTGATAAAGTATATGAACATTAGTCTTCTTACCTTGTAAAAGGTGTTCACCGTAAATCCGCGGTTACACGGTTGGAGGACCGACAGTCATTAGCTGCTATCCACCGTTGCTATCTTCCCTTATTAAAAGTTATACAATAAAATAATAAGTTTGGTTTACATCCTTGTCTGTGCAGCACCCTGTGACAATTTTTAAAGTGAAATTAATTTAATAAAAGCGATATTAGGTTGCAGTCGTCTGGGTTAGACTAGCTTTAAAGGAGCTGGTTGGTTGTTTTGACGTAAGTCATGGCGGAGGTCTGGAGAGCGTGACGTTGCGTGTAAAGGGTCAATACTGTACTGTTCCTTTTGGGGTGTTTCCTCACTTTTATGATAATAAAAGAGAGTTTATAATGTCTAACGTGAGCTATTAATTTTTCTATGTACTATAATTCGAGAGCTCACCTTTTCAGTTTGAACGCAGGACTTCATGTCTTTCTTCTCAAAACTTGTAATGCTTGTTCAATGTGCTTTCTCAACCCTTTCTCCTTGTGCTCAAAACTTGTCTCTGCTCACTTTCTGCTTGCGTTGGAACAAAAAAAGTACCGTCGCCTGGCAACCTCTCAGCCAATAGAATGAAAGTGTTACACTGGGTGCCATTGTTTTCTTCTAGTGTATGGAGGACCAAAGCTGACATAATAAAAAATAAAAGCATGAATTTTTCCTTGTCCTTACACTAGTGGGTGTGCCTATGAATCGGAAACTACTCTGACCAGATTACCTGATCTTGTTTCAGTCCATTTACTGTTGAAAGGTTTTTGTGAATATTGGAGATATAAAGTTTTCATTCCACTTCACAACTATGCAATACTTTATGTTAGTCTATTATAAGATCCCTTTAATAAAAGGGTTCAAAAGAGAAACAAGTTTAAAAATATGTAAATACTTTTGCAGGGCACTGTAAAGAACTTGATCGGATTTCAACCATATTGTATGAGTTGCAAATAACAAAGTTGATCATTTATTTTAAAATCATGTATTTTAAAAAATGTATCGATCTAAACCAATAAATAATACATCTGTGTTGTGGCTGAATTAATAAAGAATCACATTAAAAGATTCCTCTGAAGTTCAAACAGAGAGCAGTTTTTAACTTCACCTTAAATATTCAAATGTCTGATATGCTGTACTATTCGCTCCAAGGTATTTCACTACATTCCAGTTTTATGTTTGCATATAATCTCACATAATAAATAAGCTATGTAGGAGGAAAACAAATCTTTATAAATTCTCAGCTACACTAAATCCATCCGTTAGATGTGGGACTGGGAATTAACTACACACACGCATGTCTACAACAACAGCATATTTTGTCAGTGTTAATCTAAATCAGCCGTACATAGAAACTTTTAAATAGAAATTTAAGCTGAAAGTCAATTTAAACTTTGACAAGTTATGCTATGACATCAGAGGCAAATTGGATTTTATGTAATGTCTTTTCCAAAGTTTGGACAGTTCAATCAAACATTCCCATGCTTCAGACACTTATTTCTAACTTAATCTGTGGTCATGGATATGGCTGTAATGCTTTGGATCTCTCTCTCACAGACACACTGACATGTTAGTGTAATAGTAACCTCTCTGCTCAGAGAAGAACAAGTTTTGATTTTGGTTACTGTCCTGCTGCTTGTGAAATAAATTGATTTTATTTTTATTTTATGTCTCTTCAGGTGCTTTGATCTCTTATTACCAAATGCATTACTCTTTACAATGTGTACCTTCATGTTATTTGTAGAAAACTCTTTTCTCTTTTTTGTATTTTTACAATATGACAGATTAGGAACTCTGGGTGACCTCACTGTAAAATAAACATTTCCAAATGTCCCATGATAGAAAGCCTCATTTTGAACCCAAAAACGTTGTTTACAAACCAAAACCACAAAGGTACAAAATTAATTTTACAGGGGCAAAATGAGCCACATATATGAATTATTCTGTCCTGTTGTTTTGTTGACAGAGTGGACATGAAAACTTAAAGTATCAATGCAACTTTGTACTGAACGTTACACTCAGAATAGAATATTTTCTTAATGTAGTTTAAATCATAAAGGTCATTTTGTTTACAGCTGTCTCTGAAGACAAAGAGAGTCAATTTGATGTGATTTTGCTTTCCCCGCCACTCCTGCATATGTGTTTATTTGCTCATTTATAGTGAATATAATCACATTGTAAATGCTGCAAAAAGAAAGGGGGGTCACGAGTTCATGACAATAACACTTGGTATTTATTCAAAGCTGTCATCGCTCTTATTTCTTTCCCTGTTGCATCAGGAACAGAAGAGCATGGAAGTCTGCCTTTGCAAAATCCCTTTAAAATGTGTTAGTTACACATTTCCATGGACTTACAGTATGAGTAAGGGAGTTTCTTTCTCCCACACACAGACTCTGAGGAAGCATTGATCCACACACTACCAATGGCCAAACATCCAAAGTGAATTCAAGTTCAAGGAAAAGCAGTTCCAGAGGGAGAATCCTCTGGATCTACTAGTTGAAATTCACCTCTAAATCCCAAGCCTTCTGCTTTTTTTTCTGGGATTGCCCTGTATTTATCGATCGTATTTTAGAAAAGGTTCAAAAATGAGTAGAAAAGAAGCCCAAGGTTCGAAGAAAATCTTTGAAAGACTTTCAGAAAACCAATTTCAGTATAAAAAAAAAACACAAAGTCTGAGTCCTTGGAAGTAAAATGCCGACTTATTATTTTTAACTACTTCGAACACACAGCAGGTCGTTCGGAGTTGGCCAAACAGAAAAAATTAGGCAGGTAGGAAGTAAAAGAAGATGGCTTTCAGCTAATTATGGGAATCTGTTAGATTTCATTGAACAACCAATCAGGAGCTAAGTTAACCCTCCACTGCTGTGCATCGTCATCTCAAAGTTGAGTCAAGTTAGAAGTGATTCTCAACCGATTTCTTCATGTCTTAAAGGACGATGGCTCTAATGCAGTCTTTCCCAAACTGTGGTCCGCGGGCGCCCCTTGTGGTCCGCGGGGTACTGCATGTAAACGACCGTTTATTTGTCGTGATGTTAACTCGAAGTGCGACGTTACAGTTAGCTTACCAAAGAATTGTGTTAAAAATAATGATGGAAAACTGACTTAAAACCGAGTGACTCAAGAGAAAAGCTGCAGATACCAGTGGAAAGAAAACAACTCCAGGGATATTATGTGATCAGAGGAACCTAAGTCATAGCTGCTGAGTGTTACCGTGTCGTTCACTAGATTTCTTTGAACGGTTAGCGGTAGGAATCGCTCCAGTTAGTCAGAACTGTTCTTTGCTTTTTATGACTTTGCTTGGTAATGAATGATGCTCAGCTTGCAGGTCAACAGTAACAGTTATTTTTATTTTATCCAAAAAAAATAAAAAATAATAATTAAATTAAATAAATACAATTGATAGAAATACATTTTTTTATATCTGATGGTTCAGAAAGGGATTTTTTCCCCCTGTTAACTCAAGTCTATTTTTCTTTAATTGTGTTTCTGCTTTGTGGTGGCCAGCCACATTTACCAAACAATACCACTCTGCTCATTAGGATGAACAAAGAAAACATCAATACATGAGTTAAGAGACTAATATTTTCATTTCAGGTCGTATCATATATTAAGATGTGTTATCACAGGGGCAGTTTCAGGTTAGGTGGCTGGTGACAGTTTGTTAAATGTGTTAAGTGGTCCTCAGCCTGAAAAAGTTTGAGAAATACTGCTCCTATGTAATTGGACCGACCTTGCTTTTCCTCACTCACACAAACCAACACACACACACACACACACACACACACACACACACACACACACACATCAGCATAACAGATATATTAAAATGTTATAGCAAACAGATCCCGTCAGTGCTCTGTGGATCATTTCTCAGCCCAACATTTAGAGCGCCAGCTTCTTGGCATTTACCAACAAATTTATTTCTCTCATACACACATACATGCTAACATACACTCACTCTCTGTGCTTGGGAAACCCGCAACAGCACAGAGTGAACAAGTGTTGACATTTCCCAGCTCTAAACGTTTTTTCAGCCGAGCATTTTCAAACAAAGGACACAAGATGGATCCCTGAACATTAAGACAGATTGATCCTTTCCCTGCCATAAAACTTTTTTTTCGCCCCCTACATCACACACACTCGACTTAGACGGATCCGACTGAAGCATTAAATGCATTCGCTGTCTGTTGTTAGCCTCTTCTCTACACTGCGTGTGTAAATTAGATTATGTGTCCTTGATATAATGGATAGGGACTGAGTAGGCACAGTCCTCTGAGAGCAAGTTTAAAAGATTTACAAGACATCACAACTTGGTTATGACACATCTTAAATTAGTCAGCAGAGGGAAGGGAAGAAACTTTTAACCTAGTGTGAAACTGTGAAATTACTTGGCTGCCATTAAATCCCATCAAACCAGCTGGAAAACAACTTTTGCACATTAATTATTTTGAACCCTAAGGACGTGCTGTGCCCTTCACACTGATGTGTTAGTGAAGATCGCTTGTATTTTCACTGTACAATCTGTCATTAACTTTTAACGAATCACACAAAGTTTTATACATTGGTTAGATAGAGTGATATTTTTGTGGAGTATTATTTTTTTTTATTCTGTACATATTCTAGATATTTTTGACAGGGGACATATGGGTGGTTGTAAAGGTTTATATGAGAATGAGATACAAAATATGATTCAGTTCTGAGTGGTACAGTGAAAATGTTTTTAATGGGGAATGGCACCAACTGGCTGCTAAGAACAAGGAGGCTTGCTTACATGATTTATGTGGATGTTCACCTTTTTTTTTAACCCTAAATAAAAATATGATATCTCATATTTTGGTTGTTTGTAGGCGAGTTTATGTAGGGTGCAAATCATGCAAGAGCTGCCACTGATTCCTGTCATGTGTTGCGGGTTGAAGTGGTGAGGAGAGACGCTGAGAACCCAGGTATGGTGAAGATAATGATTTTTAATGAAGACGACGCTTGGAGTAGTCCATACAGGCAGCACGGCAGAGACTAGCACACAGCTAAGTACCGGTAGCAACTGATTAACGGAACTAACATGCAAGCAAACACAATCCGGGACTTAGCAGTACGACCGGAGAGCAATACAGCTTGACGCAATCCAGGACTTAGCAGTACGACCGGAGAGCGATACAAGTATGACAAACAAAGACAAGGACCCGACGAGGAACACAGACAACAGGAGGGTTTAAATACACACGGGTGGGTAATCAGGTAAGAAGACACACCTGGGGAACAATCAACGGGGAGG